TTGAACCACCAGCCTTCTGGTTAGCAGTCAAGTGCCTTAGGCACTATGCTACCTGAGCTCCTTTTCCAAGGTGGTAAGTCTTTATGGAAGTAGATTGCCCTGTCTTCCTTCCGAGGAGTGGCTGGTGGGTTTGAACAACCAACCTTATGGTTAGCAGTCATATGCCTTAGGCAATGCACCACCAAATTCCTTAGTAAATATGTAATGAATGAAAGTAAAAAAAAAAAGTATTGGCCTTTCATAATGGAAAAATCTTAAGACATCATAACGTCTCTTGCTGTTTGTTGCTTGCTTTTTTTTTTTTAATTTTATCGTGCTTTGGGTGAAAGTTTACAGAGCAAATTCATTTTCCGCATAGCAGTTCATACACGTTTTGTCTTGTGTTTGTTGCTTTCTTAAAAGCTTAGTTTTTGTTTTTGTTTTGTATTTTTTAAGATGAGAAAATGAGAAAAAATTCTATCGAAAGCACCACTAGATGTCAGTATTACCCTGTGACTTTCAGTTAATTAGGCAGAGAGCAGTCTGCGTTGATGAAATATTGAAGTATAGCTTATAGCTAGTTCCCCAATTAAAGCTGTCAGATTCCACCCTCATTTCTGATAGAGTCTAAACCTCTAACATAGCTGGAGCTGCTTCTGCCACCACTTGGATTAATAGAATACAAATGAATGCCAGCAGCAAATTCCTTCAGACTCCCCTTCCCCGGGATCACATTGCTCTTTCACCAAAACTACCAGATCAAAGAGCACTCTCTGAAAACTCCTACATCCCCCTGACCTTAACTTGGTCACCTGTCACCACCCAAGTATTATTACTACATCACCCTACGTTCAGTGTCCCTGCCAGTCAGAACGCCTAACTAGGGGGAGAATTGTGCAAGTATCTCCCCAGATTATACCTTCTAAGGAACGTTAAGAGGAAGATGCTTTCATTGCTAAAACTGACCCTAATATCTCCAGATAGAACTCAGAACACAATTTCCTAGAAATGGGGAGAAAAAAAAAAAAGAGCTGTATGTTGGATTTGTGTGCCCTGTGCTATAATTCAGCTTTGTATTAATTTACCAAACAATTACTAACAATCCTTTGTTTGGAAGGAATATGCTAGGGACAGAAGATAGATGAATAAGATAGGGAAGCCTTAAATTAGACTCTGTCTGGGTTTGAGCTCACCTTCAGTATGTACCAGCTCTGTGACCTTGGGAAAGTTACTTAATTTCTCTGTGTCAGTTTACTCATGTGTAAATTGGAGATAGTAATAGTACCTTTCTGGGACCGGGTTTGCTGGTCTGATAGAGCCTGGTGGAACCCCTGAGACAATGGCCTCTAGCTGCCCTTCGGGTCTGGAATTGAACCCACTCTGGTGGCTTCCAGCCAAACAAAAGACATGCATTTGAGGTGAACATTTAGATTAGGTAGATACACTCCTTGGAGTGTATCCTTAGAGAGATCAACCATGGGAGAACAGAAGGGCTGTGTGTGCACAGGAAGACAGCTTGGGTGGCAGGAGTGCATGGAGGGATGGACACAGGGAAGAGGTAGCTATGGGGAGAAGGTGGGAGGAGAGCTGTTACATTGTGGGAGATTGCAGTTAATGTCACGAGACAGAGTGTATGTGAACTGCTGTATGAAGATGAATTTGCTCTGTAAACTTTCACCCAAATCACAATGAAATTTTTTTTTAAAAAAGTATTTTTCTGCTAGGATCATTATGAGGGTGAAATGGGATAATGTGTATAACATACTTAGCATCATGGATGATAACAAAGTGAGCGTTTTTGTACTTACTGTTTGTTAGGATGTTCTTCAAGCAGGGAGCAGAGGAGACAGATACTTAAGGAATTA